AAAAAAAAAAGAAGAAATGTACTCATTATCTTGCCCATGTAATTGTAACCTCTCTGTACAGTATTTTCACAATAAAAAGTAAATAAAAATTTAAAAAAATATTTTGGCATAGTCTATTCTGGTCTGTCAATAATGTAAAGGTTAACTTATTTTTCATGAAGGGATTAATAAACTGTAAAAAAAATAAAGGTTATTTAATCGTTAGCAGCTTTTTAGGCAAATGGTTTATAGTTTGCTATGGTGTAATTATGAACCCTTATAATAATTAATTACTCAGCTTAGATACCCAATTAAGAGTTAACAGGCTAGGCCTTTGTGGCTTACACCTGTAATACTAATTACTCGGACAGCCAAGAAATTAGGATACTGATTTAATGCCAGCAAAATCAGTGAAAACATTTCAAAACCAACTGACCAGCCAAATCCAAGAGACTCCAATTAATCAGCAAAAAGCCAACCATGGGGGTGTGGCTTAAGTGACAGAGCACCATTCTTGAGTGAAAAAAGCAAATCCTGAGCATAAAATCCCGAGCTGAAGCCCAAGTACTGGTGTGCACATGCATGTGTGCATGCATGCATGCACATACACACGTGCATATGTGTACACACGTGTGCGCGCACACACACACTTGAGTTAACAGGATGTGGTGGACCACACCTGTGATCCCAGTACTATGGAAGTAGAGCAAGAAAGACCATGAGTCTCAAGCCATCTTGGGCCACATAGCAAAGCTAGTTCAAAAAACCACAAGCTGGAAATCAAGCTGGGAACAGCTCAGGAGCAGAGTATTAGTATGCATGAAAGGACCTGGATTCAATCCCCAGCACAGAAAAAAAAAAAAGTGTTAATAAGTTTTTTTAAATTTGTATGCATTTTCACTACAACTTGGTTAATTAAAAAGTGATATAGAGTGGTGGCAGTGGCTCACACCTGTAATCCTAGCTGTTCAGGAGGCTGAGATCTGAAGACCGTAGTTCGAAGTCAGCCCTTGAAGAAAATCCAAGAGAGATTCTATCTCAATTAACCAGGAAAAATAGCTGTACTGGAGGCAGGGCTCAAGTAGTAGAGTACCATTCTTGAGCAGAAAAGCCATACCAGGACACAAACACACCAACAAGAGGTATAAAAATTCACCAAAGTCCATAGAAAGTGCATACAACAAGCTCATGTCATTTCTCAAATGAAAAAAAATTATGCTGAAAAAAATATAGCTTACCCATAAAGTTGTTAACTATTAGTAGACAATTTTCTTTTTTTGTGTGGTGCTGGGGATTGAATTTAGGGACTCACACATGCCAGTCAAGCACTGTACCACTAGTGCCACACCTCCAGCTCATAAATTTTTCTTTGACAATTCCTGCCATTTGTATAATGAAATATTCATTTATCAAACTAAAACTAGTTGAAAGAAACTGTAGGACAGTATCATAGCACTACTTAGCCCAGAAAACCTCCTATCTGGAAAAAAATGTAAAAACATTCAATAATTAACAAATTGAATAGTTTTTTTTTTGTTTGTCGGTTGTGGGGCTTAAACTCTGGGCCTGGGCATTGTCCCTCAGCTCTTCAGCTCAAGGTGAGCGCTCTACCACTTGAGCCACAGCGCCACTTCTGGTTTTCTCATGGTTAATTGGAAATAAAGAATCTCACAGACTTTCTTGCCTGGGTTGGCTTTGAAACACGATCCTCAGATCTCAGCCTCCTGAATAGCTAGGATTACAGGCGTGAGCCACTGGCACCTGGCTTGAGTAGTTTTTTGTTGTTCTTATTTTTTTTTATGCCAGTCCTGGGGCTTGAACTCAGGACCTGGATGCTGTCCCTGAGCTTCTTTTGCTCAAGGCTAGCACTCTACCACTTGAGCCACAGCACCACTTCCGGCTTTTTCTGTTCATATGGTACTGAGGAATCAAAGTCAGGGCTTCATGAATCCTAAGCAAGCACTCTACCACTAAGCCACATTCCCAGCCTAAAAATTTTTGTTTTACAATACATTAGGACTGATTTTTCTTCCCCCAATACTGAGGACTGAATCTAGGACCTCACCCATACTATGAAGTAAGCACATACCACTTATTCTTCACTCATATTTTGTTTCTGAAATAAGAGTTTTACTAACTGTGCACCAATGGGCTGACCTCAAACTCAAGAACCTTCTGCCTCTGCCACTTGGCCTGGCTTAGGAGCTTCATTCTCATTACATAGATGATCGGTACCAATGATCTAAATAAGAGCCAGGGGAACTGTTGCCCACCTGCAATACCAGCTATCTGGGAGAGGTAGAGACAGGAGGATCCCTTGAGCCCAGGAGTTTGATGTTAGCCTGGGAAATACAGTGAGAACTAGCTAAACAAACAAACAAACAAAAAGAAAAACTGAGGTAAGAAATACTGATATAAACCACTCTATCAATACTTACGGCGCATCTCGTTGATGACAAACATGGGTTTTATAACATCACCAGGATTACTGAGCGCCTGGGTAATATGTGCTTGCATTGTGCACATCATACAAAAGCCTTCTGCATGACCTGAAAGACAGATGATAACCCTCCAAATCAGCTCAATTTGAATTCACATACGCTCAGGTATATGATAAATACAGTAAAATCTGCTTTTATTTATTTTCATTTAATTATATATCAAGCCTAAGCAATAAGTATACACTGGCTCTAGTATACAGGACAGGAGAAAAGGTCCAGAGTTAAAAATTCGGCCACAGTCAAATATTTATTATGGGGCAGACACAATAGGACTCAAATCATATACAAGACAGACCAAATCCTGAGCTGTAAAACAAACCTCAAAAACTTAATATGGCTAGAAGTATGTGGAAGTGGTAGAGTGCTAGCCTTGAGTGAAAAACTAAGAGATAGAGCTCAGGCCCTGAGTTCAAGCCCAGCACACACACACACACACACACACACACACACGCCCTGAG